AATTATTCATTTGAATAATTTATGGTGAAAATATAAAATAAATGGAACTGAACCAGTGGGTTTAAGATGAGGGCCAAGCGAAAGTATCTTGTGAATCCACGGTGCAGTGTTGAACACAGTCACCTTACATCATTGGTTGAGATTAGGAGCGACTGTAAAGTCTAAACTCTGATTTAACACCAGGTCAAAGAACTGTGCCAAATCAAACCTGCAAATACGCTGCAGAAACCTCTTTGCCAAAAGGTTTTTGGTGGTTCACTTTCACCACAAACTTGCTCAGCTGAGCTGCAGTTACCAATGTGCTGCCACTAGGTGTCAGCAAAGCATTATGCTGTCCAACAATAGCGCAAAAGGAGAAGTTTAACTGCCAGATATTTTTATTTAATGACACATGTGGGATATAAAAAACATCAGTAACAAGTACTAAAATAAAATGTGCTTCAAGTTTATTGAGATCTCACCTTGTTCACAGTTTTCTACGGTTCCACACTGGCCCAAGAGTCCATCCAGCACCTGATGGAGAGACGGAGAGAAGGGAACACTATAAAATCCCAGCACAAAACCATTTTAAGGAAATCCTAGACAATGTCATTCAATTCAAAACATCTTTTTGTTAGCACAAATGATTATTTCACAAACATATGTGTAGAGTAATATAAGACAGGCATTCACTTAAATAAGATATTTCATCATTTATGTGTTTGTTGACAGGTCTGCAAGCTCAGGAGCAAAAGACGCAATAAACGAAGAATCACACCACTCAGCTGGTCACTCTGACAACAAAATGACTTTGTTTTCATTTCTGTGAAAAATCAAGATAAATTTAGCAGAAAAAGATTGAGAGAGAAATAAAATGAGGCTGCTGGACAATCAGCTACAAATGTTAAACATGTAAATATAACCTGAGATCACACCAGTAATAACTGAGGAGATTTTAAAGGAAACGAGTCATCATGATTCCCCAACTCCACCCCAAAGACAGACATTCACATATTTACACAAACTTAAAGCTCTAAATTTACCAGGATAAAGCGGAATTGTTTTTTTTCCCCTTTGAAATTTTTCAACTTAAATGTATTAACAGAAAACTATTAAACCCAACATACTTACTGAACTTTCATTATTTTACATTCATACATAGATGATGATGTTGTAAATGCCTGACCCCAAAAACTGTGATTCTAAGGTTAAATCATGCGCGCCTGTAAATTCTGGATGTTTATTAAGGTTGATTTCAAGCACGTTTCAGTCAACTTTGCATTGAGACGTTGCCCTCACGTGGACAAAGGCAGAAGTCTGGCTCGTATTCACGCACACATATGCACATGCACACACGGAGCCACTCCCACAGGCGCTCACTTGCCAGAAGAGGCAGACGGGTGTGCCACGCCCTCACAAAAACAATGAAAGTGCACAGAGCTACACACCAAATGTAGGGAACAGTGATCCTTCCACTTTCCATTCTTCTGTAGTCAGTCATGTTTGATGAATCAACAGATTTAAAGCCTAACAGGGGAAGAAAAGTCTGTAGTTTTGCCCTAAAAGTGCCTTCTGCACTCTTCTTTCCATTCCATTTCTGTTTGCATTTTATACACACATATATATGCTTCAAGTCTCTACCAGAGGTCTGGGAGCCTGAGGGTTCGGCACAGTATCTTAGCTGTTCCTACGACTGCGCTCTTCTGCACAGAGATCTTAGATGTTCTTCCTGGGCTCTCCAGGAGCCACTTGCCTAGCTCATCCTATTCATGTAGCATTCCAACAGTGCCCTATTTTTGTCTCTTTCCCACCGATGCCTTCTTGCTCCAGTAGCCCACTTCTCATCAGGGTCACCTGACACAGACATTGTTAATCCGGGCATGTCTGAGGTAGGCTTGGTTAGCATGGGGTTAGTCTAGCCTAGGAATCTTACTTCATACAGATGCCCCAGTTGGGACTCGAACCTACGACTCCTGTTTCAATTTTTTATTTTTTTTTGTTGCCAGACAGACCTGGAAAACCCATCTTGGATGGGAGAGAAAGTAGTGGCCATTTTGCACACACTGTTTCACTTTTACCTGGGCAACAGTTTACACATATGCAAGCAACGTATTTGTAATGTGATGTGGCCATCTGAAGTGTCAGCCATAAAATTTGTACGTTATAACCTTAAAAAAATAAAGGAAATGGGAACTAACCTCCCACTGCAGGTGAGGTGGAATGTTTCTGATCTGGAGTTTCCTGGTTCTGTGGAGAGAAGAAGATTTAAGGAAATATTAACGCTTTGCAAA